AGCCCGGAGTGCATAATTCATCAAAATCAGCAACAGCAACGGAATCGAACAAAAGTTGACTCTCCAAAAAGGACTCTGTGTGAGAGCCGGAGATTGCGTCCGGGGGTGTATACATAAGTGTACTATATCGAATGGCTTCTGCCCGTTACCTGGACTACGATTGTAATTGCAGGCCATGGCTGCCTTTTGGTTAGGGGCATAATCAAAAATGCGTGTGCCACGCTGCCAAAACGACGCATAATCCCAAAAACACACCAACGAGCTTCAGCAGCACCGTCGTCATCCTAGGCAGCGGCATAGACTGGTTCGAGGTCAGTACACTAAGAAAAATAACTTCTTAATTTAATTCTTTAATTAAATTTGGAAAAGAGGACGATTTTAATTTGATATTTATTCCTTTATAAGGTAATAAAACTTGTTAGTGAGCTGTTTTTTTCTGTTTTATTTTTTCTTTCCGTGTACCCAGAGCTGACTCAGCCGGCATTTATCGAGCTGTACTTGGGTATTGTTGGGTCCATTCAGTATGTCCCTCCTCCACTTTGCACCCTCCTCTTTTTGCTGATCCACCCACAGACCTTAGTCCTTCGCCTCCTCTCGTATCAAAGTTGTGTCCTTTGTTTTCGCATGGTTTTCCTGGTTGCGTGGCCCTTTCTGTGTCCTGTGCGTGGTGGTCCGTGCCTGCAATTTTTTGTGTTTTTGTTCCATCCTGTTTTTCTCTTTTGGTGTTCGGTTTTGATTCGAGCTCTTCTTTTTCGACTTCCACTCGGCCACCCTACTCCCTTTTTGTTTGTGTAACATTCCATATCCATTTGCAACAACGCGCGCAAAATACAAAAAACAGAAAAAGAAACGAAGAGAAGAGAAACCGAAGGGAAACCGACAAACAACCCCTTTTGCCACCCTTGGGGGTGGTGCTGAATCCTCATCCTCATCACCGCTCCAGCATCAGCAGCATTTTAATTCGAATTGGTATTGCTCAGGCACTGTTATTGTTGTTTTGTAGCTGGCTTACCGCCCCCAACCCCTTTTTGTGGAAACTCATGGGTTCGCGTTCACCCTCGCTGTTTGGTTTCCATTTGATGCTGATAAATTGTAAGTACGCCCGGGTGGGCAGTGGGGTGTTAAGGATTCGCTCTACAGAGGAAGCTGCATACATCGCATAATTTGATAAAATATTGCACGCTTTTCCCTTTGTCTGAAATTATTATTATTTCGTTTTCTATTTTTTGTGTTTTTTGGGTTGTTGTTGGAACAGCGCATATGATGAGCATTAGATGTAATCAATAAAAGCTCGACACAATCCATTCAGTTCGGCTAATGGATGAGAAATCCTATGAAATGAGGAAATCAAATGCTGTGCGTTACAGTTTCCGTTTTCCGAGGCACGTTTTATGTGCGACTTCGTAATTATTTGGAGTGTGAAGGTTTTCACGAGGGGTTAGATTAAAACAAAACGACAAAAAGGGTATTTTAGGGTGTTATTTAATCTATAAGTTGTTTGATGATTCTTGTCATTTTAGAGAATGTATTATTTTGAAGGGAATATATGATATTATATTTAGAATATAGGAATATATGAATATATATAGTCTTTGTATATTAAATAATACTATCTTTATAAAATTTTAGAATAATATTATAAAACATAAAAAAGATTTAGAAAAAAACGTATTTTCTTCATGTTTCGTATTTTTCTACAAAACAAATCTCCACTAAATAAATCCTCTTTAAAATCTTCCCTGCTTTGTGAGACAAATAAAATGAAATCCTCCAAATGTTTCTCATGTTTTTCGTTTGTTACCCGAAATGGGCCAACTTTATCATTGGCTTGAAGAACTTTTGGCTAATGGCAAAAGCACATCAGGCTTGTCAAGACGGAAATGAGCGATAAATATATCTTCATTCGGTTCTTATTTCGAACAAAAGTCGGCAGCGATTTCCCCAGCGTACAATTGACACATTTTTGTATTTCGTTGACGTCTGCCAATAAAAATAACGAAATAAAATATGGGACTATCAGGAGAGAGTGAGTGTGTATATATCTGTGGCTTAGGCATCGAAGTTGCTACCTTGAAAACGATACCCTAGGGAATCATTAGGTGAAACGTCATGGGCTGCACATAAATATTGCCAATATATAACGAAAGCCCATCGATAATAAGGTTAGCAAGCCATAAACCCAAAAATCAACTGAATCTCCAACGAGACGGAGTGAGCCCTCTTCATAAATATGCCAAATTGGTTTTTCAACAATAAAATGCTAATGATTGATTCGTATTGGCCCATGGAGTGCCGTTAGTTTCGTTCAAGCCCCTTTAGAACCAAGGATTCTATGGCTTTGTCTAATTTGCGCATACCCAAACATTAAATTGGGGTTTCGTTTGGGTTTCTGGGCTTTTGCATTTGTAATTTCCACTAACGAACAAGTGAGGGTTGTTGTTTTGTTCTCACTCGACAGTTAGATACCTTAACTTTAAAGTATAGGTTGAAAAACAGAAAAAAAACTGTGCTATGGTTGAAAAGCTGCAGCTAAAATTTTTAAATTATAAAATACATTTTAAAGTTAATAAGATTTGTTAATAAATACTTTTTAAATAAGCAAAAATAATCAAATTTATATCTATATCATATTTTCTTTCTATTATTAAGAAGGAAAAGATCAAGACAATTGTAATAAAATAAAAATATTTAAGAAATACCTCTAATTTAAATTATCTAAATTAAAATATCCACCCATAACGAATCAAGCGATTTAAAACCTTTCTAGTGACATAGTTCGATGGCCAACCATTAACCCCTGAAAACCCCTTAACAGAACGCGAGGTAGGAATCCAAAAAATCCCTGGGTTGGCCATTTACAATTGGTCCGCAGTGCGGAACCTAAGCTAATGATGACTGGCATGCACAAATGTACAAATCTTAATTATGCAAATCACGGTCGCGCATAAATTATGCAAATTATAATGAAATTCCTCATGGCCGGACCTGGAGTACCCGGGGATACCAAAACGACAAATGCCCATCTATATGTATATGGATTGATAAAAATGTGGCTATAAAATGAAAAAACCGAAAATTAAAATTTCGGTCGGTCCAGGGTCCGCAGGGTTGAAAAGTCGAAATTATTTTGATGGCCCGGACTTGAATGCCGTAAATTGCAATGTAAATGCTGCATATAAACTGAATTAGTCGCAGAACAATTACAATAAGGGAAAGTGCACTGCGAAAGCAAATACAATCCCAAAATCCGAGATCCGACCAAAAAAAAAAAAAAAAAACTCTCTCACAATCCTGGAAGCAAATGGTGCATTGCCTAGAGGGGCTGTCCAGATTCCGGATTTCATTGAAAATAATGGCATACGGTGGTTCTGCTACTGCCCCGAACATCTGACACAATAATTTCCCCTACGAAACGAAGGGAAACGCAAACAATGGGAAAATGGAAAAGTTGCCAGCGCAAATTATTAAATTTATTATGCGCGAAGTCATTAGGTCTGTCGCCCGTGCTCGTACTTTGACTTATTCTAAGGACTAAACGACTGCAGGCAGCTCTAAAACACACACTCCGCCGCCACTGATACATAAATATCCTGGGAAGCCTGAAGTGTGGAAAGTCATTAGTGGGCATTGCAGTTGACAGGAGGTTAGAGATGCTAAGCTCTGGCTAGTAAACTTTTTTTTATATCTGGTAAAAATGTCATTTATTCAGAATATACCGTGAAGTAGTAATCAAAACGTTCTCATAAAAACTTGTACTTGATATCTTTAAATAACCAATTAAAAGACGTTTAAGTTTTCAAAAATGTGACTGGATTGGACAAGGACAAGGACAACTTAAAAACACGTTCTAATATTTGCTCTAATAATATTCAGATATTTTAAAGAACAGAAAAAGAACAAGAAAAGATAATATAAAAAGAAAAGGTGTTAAAAAAATAGTAAGGGTATTCCTGAAATATAGTTTGAATTCAAAGCATTTTCCATACCCTTTCCTGGAGTATGCCTTTGCCAACGAAAATATTTGGCATGTGCCATTTATGGCATTGTTCCAACTTTGAACAATGCGATACCATAATTTCCAGGCAACTCGAAGGCGCACACACTCGCTTACGTAGAGAATGCCATGCAGATGCGGCATCCTCTGTGCTATGTTATATGCTATATAGCCGATGAGCTATGATGCACGGGCTATGGCTATGGCCATATTCCTGGTTCAACCCCCCAGGACAGGAATTTAGAGGACTAGGCTGGACGACCAGGATCAGCAGGCAGTGAGCATGTGATTAGATTCAGTTTCAATGGAAATTGAAATCACAGACAAAGGAACGGGGCCAAGGGGATTCAGGGTGCGAGGAGGGGTGGTGTTGCTGGGCCATCGGGGTTGAAAAGGAGCGAAACGATAAAAATCCTGAACAACAAGAGAAATGAATTTTCGGACAGCCAGGGCAAAGGCATTAAAAACTTCTTACACCTGAAGAAATAATTAATAAATTTGAATGTTTGCAGTAAAAAATGGAAAAGATCTAAAATATACCTAAATAAAATAATAATTCTATGCGATTATATAAATATTTTGATTTATATTATGAAAATTCCAACTTCGTTGATTAAGAATAGTGTATAAAAGATAAATATATTTTAAAAATATATTTGTATATTTTTTAAATATTATAACATATTTTATATGATGGTAGAAAATAAGCAAACTTAAATTTTAAATATTAATATTTAATAAACTAAAGTTTTTGATTCAAAATGTAATTTTTTTTTGTGATGATTAAACTTTTGAGAAATTGTTTCAAAGCTAAATAATTTTTTTTCGAGTGCATCGACAGTGACTCATTCACCTTTGCTAGTATTGGTAATGGTACTGGTATATGTATTGGTTTGGATGCTGCATTATGCGAAGCACAACCACTAAACGTCAACCACCGGCGTCAACACCCGACCCACATTTTTATATAGTGGCTCATAATGTTCCTTCTGCAGAAAGAGATTAACACCAAACGACGACGGTGGCGTTGGTGGCAAAAAATTTATAATCGACAGAGATGCTAGAGTGAAAGAGACAAAGCAAATGCGAGAGAGAGAGAGAGAGAGAGTGCGAACAGAGAAAAATCGGAAAATCGTTATGCGACTACTATAACCCACCACAAAATCGCGGTCGCCTCTGTTGTTGCCGGGCACCTCACACTCGCGCATCGAATCCGATTGCGATTGCGATTCCAGGATCTGAATCCTCTGACATAGCAGCCGCATTTTAATTTTTTTCCTGGTTTGTGGTGCGTGCGATTTTTTATAAAATGTTTAAATCCCCAATTTCTTTTTGCCGTGCTCCGTGCGCCCTGCCGTCTCCTTCATACACCAGCGAACTTGTGATTTGTGGTTAATTTAAATAAATAATCCTTAAAGTGCGCCATAAATTAACAGCCAGTTAAATAAAGTGCTGCGGCGATTCTGCATAGTTGATAAAAGATTTTATAGAAGAAATTTCTACTTTAATATTGGCAAACAAAATAAATCCCCTCTGATTCGAGAGTTTTTAGTTTCTATATAGTGTTTATTAATTAAAGACTTTTAATAAAGCCGATTAAATGCTCGATTTAAACAGAGAAGCCATATCGTTTAAAGCGCCATCTATAAAATTATTGGCAAACAATAACTTTGCTTGAACAATTATTTAAAACTATTTTATGTACTTAACATTTTTGAAAATATATTTTCGTAATTATTTTTGTTGTTAAAAATCGTTAAAAATTTTTTTTTAGAAGGCTTACGAAATTGAACAATTTCTGTCAAACGTATATTAAAAATATTTTCGTTAAGGCCTTTCATTTAATTAAAATAATATTATTTAAACTATTAAATTATAAACATAGAAACGCTCCACCTATTAGGAGCTTTGGGAAGCTATTCCTTTTATAAAAATCCTCTAGCTGGCGCCACCGAACAGCTGAGTGTTTCAACCCTTAATAACTATAAACCGTTGCAACCCTGTCTTATTTTGACTCGCTTTGACTACCCTAAAGTATTACACATCCCTTCAACATTCTTTTTTCAGAGCTGCAAAAATTCAACGAAAATAAATAAATATGGACCCTTCGAATCTGGCCTTTGGTTTCCCCGGTCTGCCCAACCATGGACACATGCCAATACCACCCACCGCCAATATGCTGGGGGGCCAGCATCCTGCACCCACCGCCAGTCCGCCACAAAGCGTTCCCGGCCGTCGGACGCCACTTGGATCGGTAGGTCTGGGTGGTTTCTATGCCCAAGGCATGGGCATGTCCCAGCAGCCACCGACGGATGAGAATAAACCAGGACCTAGTGCACCGGAAAAACCACTTAGTCCCACGGCCGCTGCCATTGCAGCGATTGCCATCAGTGGTGGCACTACCACGGTGGCTGTGTCTAGTGGTGGCGCTAGTGGAAGTGGTTCCAACAATGGCAAGCAGAAGAATCGCCAAGGAAAGACTGTTAGGCTGAATATTAATGCCCGAGAACGTCGTAGGATGCACGATTTAAATGATGCCCTGGATGAGCTGAGGAGTGTGATTCCCTATGCCCATTCCCCATCAGTTCGGAAGCTATCGAAAATAGCCACCTTATTGTTGGCCAAGAACTACATTCTTATGCAGCAAAATGCTCTGGAAGAGTTAAGAAGGTAAGTTAAATAGGGTAAATTAATTAAGATAAGGAAATTAAAACATCCATATTCATTACCTTTCAGACTACTGGCCTATATACAAAGTACCACGGGAGCTGCACCCTTGGATTTGGGTGCTTTCCCAGCGGCTGCCAAACTGCAGGCCCTTCTCCAAGGACCCCACAACGAACCGCCCTCCAGCAGCAGTTAAATAAGAGTCTGAGCCACTACCACGGTTCTCCTGATAAGCAATCCATAAAAAAGCAATATTTTTAAGTCAATTGGAGGAAGATGCCAAATATTTGTGTACTAGTCAGGCGAAAGGAGGTTGATAAAGAGCCTCTTATCAGAGCAGCCAAGTGAAAATCTGTTAAGTGATATTTATTTTTGTCATAAGCATTTCTTATTTGTGCATTTACATAATGTCAACCACTATATGTAAGATGATGTATTAATAAATAAAGTATTATTAAAGTAGAAAGAAGAAAAAGATTGATTAGTTTTCCTTTTCTTTCACCATAAGCATGGACAGTAATAATTTCTCTAAAACTTCCAAAACATTCCCAACAATTTTAAATCACCAAATGACAAATACTAAAAATCAAAATCACATTTAAAATAATTTAATCTTAGATCCGTTTCAAGTCTTGACAAAAATATACATCAATATATAAATATACATATAGTTGGCTGGATGGTTTTTAGATGATTATGCGAAAACCGTTTTGCGGAATGCGAAATAAGCTGATTAAAACTAGACACAAAATCAATGAATACTCTAAAGAAATATATAAACATTTACTCGTACAACATGGGGGACGGCGGCGAAGGCGATCGGTGCGAAATCGGCTGACATTATATTAATATTACTATTCCGGTATGCCCAGGGACAACACCTTGTTTTTGCCAGTGCGAAAAATGTGCTGTTTGGTGGGAAGTTGACCGATCAAGAAATCTTTCATCAGTTCAATGGCATCACCAGAGTGTCCTGTACCATGAAACGCGATGGTGGCATCTCGTCCTGCATGATCCATAATGACATCATCGCCGCCGGGATGGTCCCTTAGAAAGTGAGTGACATCGTAGACTCTGTCATAGATAACCACCCAGCAGTCATCGAAGCTATCGTGCTGGGCCACCTCTTCTAATGAGATCTCCGGCAGATCCTCCACCTTTAAACGTTCCTTTTGATTTGATACAACCAAAACTTGATTGCTTGATTTGCCATGTCCCAGGGGCACAATCCTCAGAGATTGCAAGAGGTTCGTCAGTGCAGATGACATTTTGTTAGTAATTACTTTCACTTTTATTTATATTTGATATAACGATTTGTAATGCCGCACGACAACCACTTCGAGTTGAGTTCTGCTTGATTGGTTATGATTCCAGTTTCTCTCTGGTCTTGTGTGTCTTGTGCAGCCACCGGTACTGGAGTGTCATTCATGCCTTGGATTGTAATCGTTTTATAAATGACAACACGTGAATCGGTCGATGGAGCCGAAACCACAGTGATAAGGCTTCGGGTCTATAGAAACGAAGCATCATAGATCGGTTTATTACATATATAGAAACATATAGGCAAACTTGTTTGCATCAATATTCATGGGAGGCCTAGGCTTTACACTGAGATTGTTAGATTGTGTAATATATATTTTATGGGCAATCGCAAGCATATGACTCAATTTCCCAATATGCTCGGGCAGATGAGCATAAGTGATATTATTCTCTTTCGAATGTTGGATTCTCAGTGAGCTAATTACTTGCTACCTTTTAAATTTAATGGGCCAACAATTATTTAAAAGGGAAATTGTTAACGAGCTTATCAGCATTACAATTGATTTATTGGCACAAGTCAAATGTGCACCGGGCGAATCAATTACGTCTATTCGAACCGTTGGATTACAAGTCATTCAGGCAATCAAAATACTTTTTGGGTTAATAGCCTGTATTCCTGTATTTTTGTTTTAATATTTTAATTAAATGCGTTCTAAGTTCGCAAAGAATGGAAATTCGTGTCAGGCCACAGACGTTTGCTCTAAATTGCTGAAGCAGCCTCTAATGGGAACAGAGATAATGACTTCACTATAATCGCTAAGTACAACTTTGAACTTGAAATTGGAATGAATTCTAAAATGATGCCACGCTTTTGAACTATTTGAACTGTTAGAGAGATTTTTTTTCCAAGTAAGTAAAGTATGCTTAATCAGCTATTGTTATGAAATAAAAGGGCTGATGAAATTAGCCTACTTGAATTGCTATTAAAAAAGGGCGGCAGACAGCACGCAGTTCAGAAATTCAGAAATAGAAATATTGCAAACTTATGTGTTTAGTTTTAATTACGTCGCATACAATCAAAATATTATTCAAATAAGAAAAGAAAATATTATTAAATTAGTTTTAAAGACGTCACAATTCAATTGTTATTGAACATATAAGATTGTCAATTGAGTTCAAGTTTGATGTGTGGTTTTTACAATGTTCGGAAATCCAATATGCCAGCAGCTCAGTGTTAAGATCAGCATCATCACGTTCGATAATGACTTAAAACCGCAAAAATATTCAATGTCGTAATCAAAAGTACTGCGAACTCTTTAACTGGGCTAATATATTTGACTTTGACTTTGAGGTTTCATTTGAGTAGATAAAACCGTATCAAAATACCTTTAGATCAACAGAAAAGGCATGATAATAGCAAAGCTAATAAGGGGATCTGAACCCGCAAGATGGGTTATCATTATAATTCGTCGTGATTCCTAAACATGCGTCAATTTTTCTAATGTTTTAATTTAAAAAGTGTGTAGTACTATCAGATTTGTCTAAAAATGTGTAGAAGCGTAAACCAAAGATTATTCCTGATGAGTTTTTGCGAATATTTTGAGATTAAGTAGGAGAACCTTCAGAAGCATTGTCAAGTCCACGGCCGGAATCATTTTAATAGTAAGCTAGAAAAGAAACAATGATTGTTCATTTTTCTTTATATTACATTTTAGAGTGCCAAAAAGATCACTTCTAAAAATATACAAGTCCACCAAAAAGTCTATAGAAATTTGTTATCACTTTATTATAAATTGTTCCTACAATCTAAATTTGCTTTTTGAAAATAAGTAAAATAAAATATTTAAAAGATGTATAATGAGTCTGCTTAAAAGTGCAGTTAATCTTTAAGAAATACAAATTTTCGTACATTTTGTTTAATTTATTTTTCTTTTTTGGGGCGAACCTTAGCCCAGCAAGCTGTTAAATTATGATTTGCAATCAGCAAAAAGCGGACTTTATATTATATAGGTAAGCACAATGATGCGTAATGGATGGTCGCTTATTATTAGTTTATATTGTAGTTAATCTTAAGCATTTTGAAACAAAACCAAGTGGCAACTCTAAAGTAACTTAAATCCTGGAAAGCTTTTCAAAATCACAAGCTTTTTGGCAACGTTATGAATAATGAACCGCTTGGGATTTGGCGGGCTTTCATGCAAAATGGGACAGCTGTTGCTCTTTGATAAGCTTTCGTGTAAAAATGCTTTTCCGTCCGTAGTAATACTATTTTTTAGCTAAAAGAGCCGGTCCCTGATAAATTTTAACTATAACACAAAGTTTAAAAATCATATGATTAAGCTTTTTAAAATATCAGCTTTTAAAAAGGGATCTTTGACGAAAATTACTGCGAGGACTCGAACTTTCCCCATTTGTATTTGTGTGTTTCTATGCGTCCATCTGTGTTTTGAGGTTTGCAAATGTGTGAGTGTGATGGGACATGACATCGGGGAACTGCGTGTAATTTTTGGTGAACAAAAACACAGTCGAGTTTCAGCAACGCTCTGGCCAAGTTGTTGAGGCGCGTGAACCAAAAAGATAAAAGAAATTAAAATAAAGGGAAAATTCAACCTCAGTTATCTTTCACCGTGGATAAATTCATTCCGAAATACAAATAATTTACCAGTGTGCAGAGGGGATTATTGAATTAAAAATAAATGAAAGCCCGCTAATAAGGAAATTGGTTTGAAAACTCGTTAAGAACCCAAAACACGCACATTATGCGTTGTTCGGTGTAGAGCAAATTGCGTATACGCCACGTTGGACCGTCAAAAGGATTTCGTAAACATATTGTTGCGGAAAATTGCATGTATCAATTTAAATAAGAAAATTGTTTGCACAATTTTTATTTGTTTGAACGTTTGACAAATATTCAACGGGTAAGTGCTGACACAGCTGTTTGATTCATATCTGAACTCAATTTGCATACAAATTTGTTGTTATAATCTGGAAAAATAGTTAAGGCACGTTTGGAAAACAAGTCATTCAATATTAAATGGCTTTTCACTTATTTGCTTTGAAGTCGAAGTGAAATCTTTATTGGACAATGCCTTTGTGGGGCCAATGTAATTCGAACTTGTTGAGCAGAGTAAATTGATTTTCTTGGACGAAGTCGGAAATGTAAGCTGGCAAACTTTTATTGTAAAAGTTAAGCTAGTGGATATTCTTTTGGAATGGAGTTCTGGTCAAATATTCTATGTGAAATTGTTGTGATCTTTTGACATTCTCATAGGAGTTGGCCAACAAAATTATGCAAATTGTTTTCCAAAAAAAATTGGGCTAATGTGAAAAGGGAATTGAAGTTTTAGTAGTCTGAATTAGCCATCAAATGTGATAATAAATTTTTTCCTATTATTGAGAAGCATTTATTAATGTATCAAAAACAATTTAGCTTTCAAAGTCTACCAGAAACTTCATTAAACAAACAATTTCCATATTTTTAAGTAATCACCTTTTACGTCACATCCATATCAGATTTTCCGAAAATTGTTTGTTTTGGAAAATGAGTTTTCCCTTTCGCTCATCGAGAGTTCTTTTCGAGCACCCACTTTTTAGCTGTTTACTGATACTGAAATGATTGCATTGCGTATACGGCACGTGGCACGCGTTGTTCATTGGCTGTGATAAATTGTTACAAAGTACAGTGTTAAAATATAATCAGTCGAAAGCGTTTGCGAAAAGTACTCACACATATGCGGGATCCTTTAACCAATTTGCCATTTTCCGTTTTCCATTTGAAAAGACAGTAAGGATTTTGTACGGAATTTCTGTGCCGCGGGCTCTTGAACCTGGCGGAGAAGCCAGGACTTGTTGGCCACGTTGCCAGCCACTCAAAAACAACAAGGATGTCCTTGAAACACCCGTACATATGGCCGTGACCCCCGACCTCCATTCCGTTGCCGAATAGAGCTCTCTTCTGTCGACCTTCATAATACATCGTATATATTCTTTGACTGGAATATTGCGTGTTAAGCAGTCAACAGGCTGCACTAAAGAAATGCATTTATTATAGACATTTCTGGGTGTCGAAGAGCAATGAATATTTATCACGTGTCCAAAGATTAATGTATTTTTAATGCAAAAACGTCGCCCAAAGCCACGGGCAACATTGACGAGGCCATAAAGAAGCTCACCCAGCCAGCCATGTTTGTTAACTTGTTGAGTTATTGGCAGCTCTTTAGCCTCTGGCCCACCACTGGGGTTCCTTTCTGTGGGTTGTCGAGCAGGTTTCCCTTTGTCCCAAACACAAGTATTAATATCACACTTATTATTTCCGTAGCCCACGCCAGGACATGTATTTTCCTTTATTTTTTTCCGTTTCTTTTTTTTTTTTTCCTTCCTGAGTGCTCATGTAAACATTTTTCGTTGTTTACTTCTTGGGCATTTTCAGCGTTTTAATGAGCGTTTTATTGTTTATTTTTATGCTCTCGCCCTAATACCGGAGGCGCATAACTTTGGGTCACTTTATTAAATTGCTGTTTATCTTTGCCACAGTCTTGCTCACTCTCTCTTATGTTTTATTTCTCATTTTCAATATTTTTTCTGTGTCCCGTTGGCCCCGGGTCCCATGGTTTAATGGCCTGTGGCGAATTGACATATGGTTGTTGATTTTAATGGGATCTTTTATTCCACTTTTATCGCATATAAGAGGGTTTCCAGAGTATTTCAATGAAAGTGAAAGGATTACTAGGAATTTTCTACTGAATGGCTTACATTTGATGACTGAAGAAGATCTTTGACTTTTTGAATGCTTTTAAATATGCGAAAGGACTTGCAAATTTTCAAACTTTTTCAAACTTAATGTTTAAAGTATCCATAGGTATACATTACAGAAACCATATGATAAATATTCATAGAAGGTTGGGCTTCTCTCATTCAAGTAACCCAAACTTTGCAAAAGGAATAACATTTTAGTATCAAGTTTTTTCTTTTCCTGCAAAGTTTACTAATCCATTTATGCCAATATCTTAACCAGTTCTCAGCAGCTCATAGAACATCCCCTTTAATCCCGCCATAAGCCATAAATATTCATTGATGGCTAATTAGGAAAGACAACGATGGGGTCAGCCTTCAATTTGCCCCGCTGATCCCATTGACATTGGGGACAACAACTGACGATGCCATTGGTGGGAGATAATCAACTCGAATAACAAAAACAGAACCATTACTGTGAGTCCAAAGAGGGGGCACGGGGATGATGATGAAGATAATGATGTTGCTGATGTGGATAAACTAGCGCCTCGACTGTATAATTATGGAGTGAATTACAAATTGCTGATGCCTGATTATTGACGGCCAGGACCTCCGGATCCGTCAAGTCTGAGTCCTGGAGGCCAACGTGGCCCTCACACCGTGAATGTTGGGTAAACTTCTGTAGCTTGTTTATGCGCACTGAAGGTTTTTCCATTTGTTGCTCGTGGGAGCCCTGGGTAAACTGCAATGGATGAGTTAAAGCCAAGGGAAACTTTATTCCAGGTGAACAAGGCCACCTGTTAAAGAATTTCCAGTTCGGTACAGGAGCCTTTTATAGGTTTGCTTATGCTGTAGGTCAGTGTTTATGAAACATACATAAACAGAAAATATCAAGAAAAGGAGGAAGCAGTTATAAGAAACAATTGTCATTAGTATTTTTGTGATCTATTTTCAAATTATCTTCATAACAAAGTTAACATTCTTAAGTCTAGCAGGTTTAGCTAGGAATATATTCATATTTTTTATTAATAGGAAATGCAAATTTGTATCGGAGCAACTCTTACTTTTTGTCCTGGCCAGTCTTTTGCCCAGTACATTTCAGGACAGGACAGCACGTGAACCCGATGTCGTAATCTAATTACAGTTGCCAGGGACAGGTGTGCATCCAGCACTTGGCCAATGTTTTCGCAATACTCTATGGCAGGATAAGCCGAACAATGTCTACGGAAAGCAGGAAGGATAGGGGCAAAGTGCTTCCGGAAGTCGAAGAAAAAGTATAGTTTAATGGAACTTGTTCAGTGCAGAAATGAAGCTGGCTTATGTGAGTTAAGTTACATCCGCTTAATCCATGCATACATACAAAAGTAGATATTGAAGCTGAGTGAAAAGAATTTATATCAATTCAGGCTTGAAACTTGGATGTTTTTCTGTTATTTAAACAGAAACTTTCCATATAGTAAATCTACAGTCCCTTAATCTGACTGAACCCTAACTGACCTAGCAACAGGATAATAGGGCGTTTGACTTGCTGACGACTGCAATTGTCGACGTTCTTTGAAAAGCACAGTAGGGCGTGAATGTGGCCAAGAAATGGACTGGCAACTGGGACCATTCCCCGGGCTTTTCAGTCACAAAACACTTCATTAGACTAATGAGCATAATTTGCCATAATTGCGCCATTCAAAGGAGCTGCGACCGTTGAGAGCCATCTTTATCTATTAATTTTTTAAGCGAGGATGATGAAATCGCCAGCTAACGACGCCAAGAGAAATCACGGGAATGAGCTGGCCCACACATACCTACCGTTTTCCCAGGCATTCAATGAACCATGCGGTTGATTTTATCGATTAGATAAACTTAATTTTAGTCGCTCTGTCAACACATTGTGGGACATTCGAGGGACTCATTTCTGCCCTTGATTTTGCTGCGACGCAAACACAAAAAAAAAAAGATATAGCCACAGGCGGAAGTAGTGAGGTCTTATCTAGGGGTTTCAGCGAAAAGTGAAAATGTGCACGATAAAAGCCGCAAAATGATTTACAAAGCCAACCAAATACCAAGCCAGACGGCCGGGCCAAAAGGGCCAAAGTCGCGGTTTTTGTATTAAAATTTATGACAGGAGCAATAAATCCCTATGCCCACAGGCCCACACATGTGTGAATGATGCATGTGGGCAAATACCAGGTTCAACAAGGGAACACTTCGGAGGTAGTGCCCTGGAACAGATTCTTTAAAATATGTACTCTCACTAGGTTGTTGGGTTACATAAGCCTTTGAACTGGGATTAAGATATAATTGGGTTATATAATTTTGGGTTAATCAGAAGCTTCCTTCTCTAATGACTTATTTTTGGTATGCAATCTTTTACAAAAAGATAATTTTGGAATAAGTTCACACTACATACATTAGATATACATACTTACTTTTTTTGAACTGATGAGACTTTTTTTGTATATAAAATCCTCTTGTAATTGAATTTCAAAAATAAAAATCCCCATTCTATTAAAAAGGGTATGACAATTCATTTAAACTCACATAACCACATGGGCCGGGACAAACATTTTGTGCGCGCTGCCAGTGTCAGGTCATGAATGTCAGGACAGACAGACGGATGAAGGACACCTCGGATGACTGAATGACTGACTGATGATGTGCGAGATCTACTCAATTTGACATTGATTGGGTTATATGTGATTTACAGGGGCCCAGAGTCTGGAAAAACGTTAGGTGATATCAGTTCGGTGGCATTTTGCCATATTTCCCAGGGGATTAACCATCGATTGACTGGCAAATATATTTCAGTGGAAAAGTCTACATAAAGCGCTTAAATGCTGCTCCACGAATTTTCCCTTTAATTTACGGGCTCTAGCCTTTCCGATAGCGGCTTATCTTTGCAACTGTCAAAGTTTAAATTAGAACTAATTTCATAAATTTTCCAAACAGGCACATTAAGGCTGAAACTCTGTTATATGCACATAAGGGAACATAAATCATTTCCCCAAGATTTTTCAAGAAGCCAAAAAAAGGAGGAGGAGTAGGGTATCCAGGGAAATGAACCCGCATACACACCTCATGTAATTGCCATAAAAGAAAGCGTAGACCCAAAAACAAAAAGTTGGCCATAAATAAATAATGAGTGAAAAGTAAATTTGCAGAAATTGGCCAACAAAAGGGTGCGGTTGGGTGAGGTAGGCGAAAGGGTCAGAGGTAAATAAGGGAACGTAGGACTCATCCAAAGGTGGCTTATATAAATATACTAATTAATTACCAAGTCGGTTATAAATTTTTGCTTTTTCAACAGACATCACTTCATTTTGGTGGCAGCTCTTCGCTTTCTTTGCATTTCTTTTGCACAGAAAAAAATTAAATATTATTATTGCTAAAACATTACATTTTAAATTCTAATTTTGAGATTTTTTGAGTATAAAAATATCTCACTTACAAAAGAATATGATAACCTAGCTCCTCTGTTATGCCATACCTTAAGGAAAAACCGGAACTATAAAGCTGCTTTGCAACTGTTGCTGTTAAGCAACTTTAATGACGACCCTTCCACATTTTTTGTTTTAAGTGTGGATGTAATTTGGTGGATTTAGTTGGGGTGCCTGGGATGAGGGTCACCTGCCAGTTTGCTCGGCTAATTGCGAACTAACCGAGGCCGAGGCGCCTTTATGGCAATTTTGTGTGGTTGCGGTCTAACAAAGACAAAGCCTCGGTACCTTCATTATCCTACTGCTGGATCCTTGAAGCTGGTGGGGAGCTGTGAGCACGTGCCGTTGGTCAGGATTTTGTGGTGCCACCACACAAACACCACCACCTTTAAGCCGCTCAATTAATAACCCACAAAGCCAGCGAGCGGAGAAGATGAATGTCGGACGTGGGGCCCCGAGCTTTGATTTATTTATGAGACTCACATCCCGAGGTCCTGACTTGCTAATGAATGTTTTATGGCTAGTTTGGGTGTCATTAGGCAGGTGGAGAGTTGTCGATGTGGGGTCATGCCCAGTAATTGACCCGCGTTGCCATCTCATGTGTTATTTGTTTAAGAGTTGCTGCTACATTCTTTGACCAATCGATGATGCTTTCTTCAGATTCACTTATAGCCGAAGAAATGGACATTGTCATACGTGAGGAGGACATTTCACTGGCACAAATTGGTGTCTACGCCTCGGTATCCTTTCTGGTGGTTTCCGCTGTTGGGGCAGCCCTTTATACCACCTGCTCGAAAAGGTATCGCCTAAATTGGTTTGAGCAAAATCTCCTAGAGTCTGCGAATGAAAAGGATGAGGATCAACAGAGGTAAATATATTAAATATATTGAAGGTTAAACAAACTGTATAAATTAATCTCTTTTAAAGTTATTTTTTGGAAAACACCAATTGAAAATATTATTTTTGTGCTCTTACGTTTTTTATCCTTACATGATTTTTTTTTAAGTTCAACCTGAAAATGAACCCCGGCAAAAACTCATTTTAACAAATTGTGAAAATTAGCATGTTGTTTGCTTTTCCTACTCGAATAAAAAAGTAAATGACAAAAAATTCTCATTTCGAAAATGGCAAACCTGTGTAAGATAATTTTAAAATTTTTTTCCATCTTCAGTTTGCATTTTTTTGGTCACCCTTGGTGGTACTAACCGTATATAATGTCCTCAATTGTTTTCGTTTCACATCAGCAGGGAGGCCTTGGTAGCCGGTGCCGTGGGCTATAATGTGGACAATATAAACGAGGTGTCGCGTGGGAAATTCAGCAGTGGAAATGCCGGCAACCTTAGTCCCACATCTTTGAAAAGCGAGGACAATGACCCGGCCTTTTGGGTACCAGCTTCGGTCACCTCGGCATCCGGCATCCAGCAACAGGTTTCAAACACCACCGAGGAGTCGGCCCCGCCCACACCCACATCGCCCACTGGTAGCCTGAAGTCAAACACCTTGTCCTACTGCTCCACCACCTCAGTGCCAATTGCCAGATCTGATAAGCACGTGGTCCTAGCCATGCACCCAAGTCGTCCAAGAGTTTCCTCTATGAATGCCAAATTAGATCACACAAAAATTGATATGACTTTGTATAGGAGCGTAAGTGAAGAGGGATTTTTTCATACTTCCTTTCAAATATTTAGTAGTTGTTTATTATATTTCAGCACTCTCAGCCGAAGACCATCAATCCAGTTTCCCTAAACGAAGTACGTGGCAACCTGCATGTCAGCATTGGCTATGATCCTGTTGGTGGCTTGCTAAATGTTAGACTACTGGAGGCTCAAAATCTGCAACCGAGACAGTTTAGTGGAACTGCTGATCCCTATGCCAAAGTCAGATTGTTGCCGGACAAAAAGAATTTTTGGCAGACTCGGATACACAAGAGGACCTTGAATCCAGGTGAATAACAAAAAAAAAGCAATGTTTAAAAAAATTAAAAATTAATTACATTTTTTCAGTCTTTGATGAACAATTTGTATTTGAGGTCACAGCGGGTGTAATTGACAAGCGTACAGTAGAAATTTTGCTTTACGACTTTGATGCCTATTCCCGACACGTGTGCATTGGAGGAACTAAGCTTCATTTGGCCAATTTGGATCTGAGCGAACCGTTGAAGCTCTGGACTCCTCTTAGTTCTGCCTCGGCTCAGGATATGAAAGTGGATTTGGGAGATATAATGGTGTCACTGGCTTATTTACCATCTGCGGAACGTCTCATGGTGGTCCTGATCAAGGCCAGAAATCTGCGGATTGTTGACGATGCTCGAAACTCTTCGGATCCATATGTAAAGGTTACTCTCCTGGGCCCCGGTGGAAAGAAGATGAAGAAGCGTAAGACGGGCGTTCAAAGGGGCACGCTCAATCCGGTTTACAATGAAGCTCTGGCTTTTGATGTCGCCAAGGAGACTCTGAAAAATTGTGTACTTGAATTCACCGTGGTCCACGATGGTTTATTGGGTTAGTTAATTTATAGATAACCTTAGTTATAAATTTCAGAAAATCATTTCATTTTTATTACAGGATCAAGTGAAATTTTAGGTCGTACCCTTATTGGAAATTCGCCCGAAGTCCGCTGTGAGGAAAAAATATTTTTTGAAGAAATTTTCCGTGCCAAAAATGCTACGGCCCAATGGGTTCCACTACAGGAACCGGCAAACAACTTAGCCACTACCGCGAAAAATTCAACCAGCAAGAACTAGCTTCCACAGTTGTCGGCTGCTTTTGGTTCGTGTCTAAGTAGAGACGGCGGCGGTGGTTGTCTTGGGTAAGCGTAAGTCTCGTATAAGGGTTATGTCGTGGCTGAGCGCAACATTTTGTTGTAGTAGGAAGTAAGCAAATGCTTAAACCTTTTGTATGCTAACATTTCAACAACATTCCGTTTCTTTTGAATTCGATAGATGATCGGATGATAAATTAATAAGAGATTCGTAAGATTTGGAATCGATTGATTGAATACCCTTATACCCTTACAACTATTATTAAAAAAAAGTTTTGTAATACAAAAGAAAAAATATAGAAAATTCCGTGGGAGGATGAAAATTCAGAAAACATGTACAGCTGTTTCCAAATTAATAGAAGTAATAGAAAATAATATTTGACCTTCTTTAAAAGCATTGCGAAGCTACTATTATTGTGAGAACGGCTGTACAAATATATCATTTTATATTTAATATAAACCAAGATTATTGGTTAATTATTAAAAACAATTACCGGAATAAGGGAACTTGCAGGGATATGTTTTAAGCAGGATAGGGAGTCGAAAAAGATTGTCACACTACGATCACTAAACAGTTTTAAAACAAATCAAATATATCTCAATGAATGTGCTTTGAATGGTATCAATTAATCAATTAAGAAAATATATTTAATATACCCTTTATGCGTCAGAAATGTCAAGAAGTACCTAAAATGCAAAATACCAACTATATTAAATTAACTAAATAAATATTTATATTACATATACAAATATTTTCGGAACGCAAGCGATGATTATTATTCTGATTTTATAATTTTTAGGCGAAGGTTTCAGGGCACAGAGGGCACAAAGATCCATAGAGTTTTAATTTTATTTCCGGTTTACTGAAAATTCCTTGAAAATATATTGCAAAGCTAGTAAGTGAGTGTAACCAGAACTATTCTTATATACATTATACTTAATGTAGTGACTAAATATATATTATATAAACTAAATCGTGTCTAATTAGTAGACTTAGCTTAAACACACAATGTATTTCTTAATCGCAAACTACCTTATATTTATCTATGTTAAATAAAGTTCTTAGATCTTAGACAAATCATTTGTTTTGCCTTCCTATTGAACCAAAGAATTGGGTTAAGTCCTGTTAGCTTTAAGGGTAATTATCAAACTTTCTATTGGCCAACCTTAAATTAATTTTAGCCAAGAACATCAAACGTTTGAGGTTTTCAATTTTCCGTAGAACGAAACCAAAGAAATCCCTGCCCTCATTTTCCTTTTTTGTGGACATTGAGCCTTAAATATTTTCGTGGGCGAAACGAACTTGTTGGCCAAGTTGGCGTGCAAAAAAAGTTACCGGAAAACCCGTTAACTAATTTTCCAACATTGACTGATAAATCCGCCGGGAGCTGCGACGGCAACGTCGCATTTGCTGTTAAAGCAGCCATGCAGGACATGCTCCAGGGTCCTGCGAACTGTTGCGGTTCCTGTCTGTGTCTATATAAGTTCACCGTAAATTTCCTTTTCAATCAAAATGTGCTTTCATTCAATTTGGAAGGCGGCGGCGGGCATAAGTAGCCTTACTTCTGGCATCGGGGGGATATGGAAAGCCCGAGGGAAAAACTGCAAAGGCAACTTTGAACGGGTGCCAGAAATTGGTGGCGCCGTAAGGTTGGGCGGTGCATATAGAAAAACTTTACGTTTTTGAGTAATACATTATTATGAATTATTTTATATTCTAAATAAAATTACTTCCGAAGAATAGTTTAAACTTAAAGTTAACAAAAATAAAAAATCAAACTGAAAAAGGCGATATCTATCGAAATTTATAAACTAAAGAACTTATTTATTAGGACTTTAGTTTCTTTCTTTAAAAAAACTTGAAATTTACAGTTAACCAAGATAGTTAAAAACTTTATGTTACTTTAAAATTGTTTTCAGTGAATGCAGTAGCTCTAGTAAACGGCACAGGAAGCATACTTATGGAACTCCAACAAGGTCCACGACCACATTACATAGTGACCTAGGAAGGCGAGGGAAAAGTGAATTGACCGATAGTCGCTTCAAATTGGATTCAAAGATAGTCGCCAGGACTGGCAGAAAATACCGCAAGGATAGTTAAATTATTTGCTTGCCATTTCCCTTAGCTTCCGGTCCTTTTCCCAAATGCCTCTTCCACAAAGTTAACATTTTTCCTTTTCATTTTTGTTTTGGTTTTATAAAGTTTGTTTAACCACTTTCATTGGTCTTTTAAATTGTGGCCAAGGTCGATGGTCAGTCTTTGATAAACTTTTAAGAATGAAAAGAGATTCTAAGGATGTTATCAAAGTTGAACTTGCAAATTTATTGGCTGCTTAATTTTGGTTTGATTTGCTAGGCCTTCGCTTTAGGTTTTCGATCATCAATATTTCAGCTTAAAGTTTTTTTAGTATTTCAGCCTTTGTTTAATCCAGTCAGCATCGAACAATAAATTGCTGTTCTCATAAAGTATTCGCTTTACAGTGCTCTTCCGATTATGTACATTTTTGACTTATTGATAGACTCTGTCTGCCAATTGTCGCTACTCGGGCCAAAGTGCTTTTGTGCAATTTTTCACTCTATTCGTTGGCAATCGCTGGGATTCCTTTGGAACGGCAGCTATCAATTTTTCACCGATAATGCCTGGCATCAATGTCAGTTGGCAATAAACTGGAAATGCGACTAACGAGTAAATTCCATTTTTAATTTCGTCGCACTCTTTGTCTATCTCAACGCCATTTGGTCTCTGCATCATCTCGGTTTTATTTGCTACTACTACACATTCCCAGTAGTTTTTTCCCTTTTCCAAGTCCTCAGTCCTGGGCTCTGGGTTCTGGCCAGTTTCAAAAGCTTGTCAGCGGAAAACGTAAACTAACGACATTTTCGTTTTCTTATTTACACAATCAATTTCGTGCTTTTGTGATCCACGGGCAAAGGCGGACGGGAATGTTGAAATGAAGAGAACAGCGAATCCTTGCAGCATCCTTCTTACCAGGCGACATTGCGTGTGGATGTGGATACACATCCTCTGTATCTTTGGACTTTCCTTTGCAGTGCTCTTTCTGAAAGGTATTCATACTTATGAATATACAAATTTGCATATTTTAACATTTTGAATTTAACATTACATATACCATTATATATATAATCTAGAATTTTTGAAGTAAAATATTTTATAATATGATATAGTTATGGAAGACTAAGACACTAAAAAGTATATCATTTAGATCAACAATCATGATAAAAATGCCTTTCTTCTTAGAAAATAATCTATTATGATGAATTAAATACTGCATTTAGAAATGTATTTCTAACTTCGACCTTTTAAGTATAAATTTCTTCCCTATTTTCTGGGCTCTCCACTGCCGCTGTATCGTTAAGTTGCCATTGCTGTATAGCTTTAGTTTCGGCAGTGACGATAGCAATGGTGTTGCACAAGCTACTGTTGCTTTTGCAGCTACTACTGCCGTTTGTGCCGCGAGGGAAATTGTCGTCAAAGCGGAAAAAATGTCACATTGTTGTTCTAGCCATCATGGAGATGAGGGCGGGATGGGCGGATTGGTGGGTGGTATGGAGGCCACTCCTGTACTTGCCACACGTTGCATGTGTGTTGCATTGGCAGTAATAGTTCTAGTTTCGTTTCGCTTTCTTTTCCTCAGCCCCTTTCTTCCGCTTTTCCAACCCTTCCTTTCCTTTTATTTTCCTTTTTTTTTTTTTTTGTTTTTTGTGTCCTTTCTTTTGATGTTGACCGCATTCGTTGGCTCGTTTCGCTGGCTGAGTTCGCTTTTTGGGGGCTGCCTTTATTGTTTATGCAACTGTCAGCAGTTTTCGCTCCTCGTTCGCCCCAAGTTTTTCCAATCTCCCACTGAACCCCCATCACCACATTCTCGCAGACTTTCCTCTCTGTATACGTGTGTGTGTATTTGTGTAGGTGTTTGCTTTGTATCTCTGTGCGACTTCCATATTTGTTGTCATTTCGAATTGTTTCAATGACTTTTGACAGCGAGCAGATTAGCTCGGCGACGCCTCCGCTGAATTTTCCACCAACAGCAACCAGCATCCAACCCCTTCTTCAATTATCGGGGGAAATCAGAGGTGTATATTTGGATCATTCTTCATTACCAACGGTGAAAAAAGTAAAGTTCATCGGATTCCGATTCAATGGATTTCTCGTGATTACCTTAAATAAGTCTTTTTGTTTGTCTCAGGTTGATTGAAACTGAGAGCTTGTTAAGTTGTTATTTTATAATATTAATGCATAAGTTTGATCTTTATTTCAAAATAAAAAAAAAAACAATTGCATTTAGTTTTTGGAAAAATAATTCTTAGTTTTATGTACAGCCAAAAGACAGATTTATACTGTTTAGCCTTTTTAAAACATTAGTTTAATTCTTCAACCATCTGGCAATCAAAAGCTTAAACACTGATAAAATGCCTAAAAAGCTACTTTAGCAAGTATCCAATAAACTCAGCCGGTAAAATTATATTTTCAGCTCGAATTTCAAGCATCGATTTCCCGCAAATCCAAAAGGGGGAACATCCTCGTGCACCGTTGCGAAATAAACCAATTATAAAAAAGCCATTTCGCATGTCAACAGAGTGCACGCAAGTTTAAACTAAAAAGCGCAAACAAAAATTAATTAAATTATTTTTAGCTAAGCAATGTCACATGTGGTTGTTCGATGCAGCTCATCAATAAACGAAATTTATGGTAACCGCCGAAACGGCAACAAAAGAGGGGAAGGAAAGTGCAACAGAAAGGCGGTGGTCAAAGCCAATTAAAGATGGCCAAAAAATCCCCAACGAATGGGACTAAAACAATGTCCCTGGCGAGCCTGACGACCAACCGAAATTTCAGCCACCCAATCAGCATATTTAAATTGTGTTGTGTTTGGTGATTGAAATGCATGAAGAACGACAGCGTAAATAGGACAACGCACCACAAGTTAGAAGGACGCACACACACACACACACTCGCACATCGATCTATTCGAAGGACACATTGGCAAACATGAATTTTTACCATGTCGGTGACTCTGCGGCTGCAGGTTTTACCCGATGGCTCCTTACCTCCTTTTCGAATTCCCCGTTTTCCATCTCCCGACGGCGACAACATCCACACTTTAATGGCCCACAGCACTATTGAATCGGTTACCATTTCTATACACCGAACTAAATATATTATAAAAATATTCTTTCGATTTGAACCGCGAAATAATATTAAACTGACACAGGAAATAAGAAATGATCACCACTAAGGCTCTAAAACAATTTATATTGACGCCTAAAAGGGGCCAACATTGTGTTTATAGTGACTTTTTGAAATATGTATTTATTTCTTTAATATTCTCAGTGTACCCATACCCATTCCGATTCCCATAGCCATTGCCATTCCGATTTCGATTCCGATTCGTCGTCGTCGTCGTCAGAGATCGATGCTGGTCAGCAGTTTCGTTTTGATTGTGCGATTTTCTACTTTGCTGTGCATTTTTCCTTTCATTCATGCTGTTTTCCTCGATTTTTCCGCTTTTTTCCCAGAGCTATTTCCTGATGTGCAATTTTTTCTTGTGTTGTATTTCCAACGGTCAGCCGCGCTGTAGAACTCTAATTGCTCGGCAGTGGCCAACACATGCGAAGGTGGCCTATCCATTTTTTAGATGCGCACAAATCGCTGGAATATTGTTTTCAGTTTTTTTTTTATTTTTTTTGTCTGTGTTCACCACTGACGAGACTGAACGCTATAGTAAAAAATAAGTCGCAGCAGAAAGTCGGGTCGAGCACTTAAAGGCATCCAATTTTAATTGGAATTTAGGCGAAAAACCGTAAATATTATTGTCGTGGGCCCGGAAGGAAATCTGGCTATTATAAAAGGGCCGCACGTTTTCAATTCAGAGTGCAGGCTGCACTATTCGAACGCCGATATTGGAGTTTCGAGTGGTTTATGGCAGGAATCGTGTGGCTATAACGGACTCGAAAATTGCCACCAAGCAGGATGTACATAGTTGAGTCGTGGACCAACCAGGATTTTACGTGAGTGGCGGAATAGGATTTGAAACGGATGTGTGGGCTTTGCAT